AAAACAAAACAAAACAAAAACACACTTGTACATTATTTGACCTCAGTAAACAAAAATAAACTCTGTACCTTAAAGAGCTGAATCCATCGTTTTTGTTCCATCTGTATACAACGCTGCATTTCAGAACTAGTCGTGACCCCAATACTCTGAAATGCTGTAATGTATTCCTCTCGGACTTCCGGTTTCGTTTCCGGATACGCCAACTTGATGATCCCTAAGCACGCATCTCGGAGGCAGCGAGACAACACTATCAGCTCTTCCAACGTGAAAGGCATCATTGATGATTGTCTCTGGCCTACAATTGAAAAACACAATCCAATGTGCTGCCATAATTTTTTTAAATTTTCAACACACAGAAAGACTTACAAGGCTTAAAATTTTTTCTATCATCTATGAGAACGGATAGGCAATGGGGTCAGCAACAAACTGGCTGCTCAAAATTCTCACCTTCTATTGGGTCACCGAAGAATTCATTATCATGTATGGAAATTAGTGAATGACTAAACAAGGAGCTAAAGAGGTAAAAGAGTGGGATGATACGACCAGAATCTTCAAACGACATGGGAGAGCCCCTTGATATCACCTGAAGCAATGGTACCATAGACCTTGAATTGGGGAAAGAGAGAGAAGAAGAAACAATTTTCAGATTAGTTCTAGTTTGGGAACAAATTAAGACATGACCTAAGACAAATATAATCACGGAACATAACATTTACATTAGCAATTAATCTACTTAAAGAGAAGGTAAATTCATTCTAACAATATAGGTTAATAAGTAAGAAACTGAAAAACAAGACACCAACTCCCCACTCTTGACTAATGTTCTCAGTAATAGGAAGAGTTTAGTTACTGAGCGAGCAGGTGGGCCCAGGCGGACCCTCAGGAGAAAATTATTAACGCCACTATTAAAGATGCACACGTCACTCTGAGGTTGAAAACCACCCCTCCCCCTCCATTTAACATCCTTAACAAAGGTAGATTGTTCTGGTCTCATGAAAGCTTACATTTAGGAACACTGAAAACAGCTGAGCATTGAACCCGGCTTAGAACCTTCAGGAATAGTCTCCGCTTTTCTATACTGGGCCTTGTCCTCTTACCCACGTTTACCTGCCAGCTCCACTCCTGCTCCTGCTTTACAGGGGGTCGCCGAGCACCCAGAGCAGCGCTAAAGTGACGCGGTCCTGGGGGGGCTCTGTAGGCGCCTTCACCTACCAGGAGCTGTGGCCCCCTAGATTTACTCCTCTCACCTGGAAGCTGTTCCCTTTCTCTCTCGGGTAGCTGTGGTTCCCTGTCTTTCGGAGCGCCTAGCTAACAGAGGTTCACCTGTAAGCTTTCTCCCAACCATAAAGCCCAAGGCCCCTACAGCACGTCACATGAGCCCTGCGTCAGACATGGTGGGCTCCCCCCTCTCCTATCTTCCCTCATGTATGTGTGTTTGTTCCTCCAACACCTATTCCCATCAAACTACAGCTATGTATTAGGTGAGATGTGACCGGGAGTCAGGACCCACGAACGATAACTGGCTGCCCAGCACTGCTGAGGTTCTAGGGGGAGAGAGCACAGCAGGAGGCAAGGGGGTAAGGCCCGGCTGTGAGCTTGGATGAGCCCCTGGGTGTCCGCGGTGCACAGTTCAGGGGAGAGCACTGCCATCAGCAGGGACCCCGGTGGACTGTTCCCACTGAGAAGAAACACCCTCTGGCCACTGTTCCACCCACCTGCATGTGCCCTACTGCTCAGTGCAGGCAGTGAGCCCTGAGCACTGAGAACCAGCTGGATGAATCCGGGAACAGAAGGGGTTGGTCCCAAGTAGAAGTGCATGAGGATGTATAAAAAAGGACCAAGTACACCGTCCCACATCACTGCCAAAGCCAGGATGACAGAAACGGCCATCTATGTGGAGGATAAGAGGCATGGGGGTGGCTCAGCTGCACGGCAGGGTCCCCTCTCTACCTCCTGTTACTCCCCACCAAGCCAAGTGCTAGGTTGTCCACACAGTAAAAGTCTGCTGACATATGGAGGAAATAATGTTCATGTCATGTGTCTTCTTGATATTAATAAAAATCTTGGTTTGTATCTTTTAGTTGCCTTGCCACTAAATGCTGGACTATGAAAGCAGATAACAGTGATGAACAAACACTATTTAGGGGAACATGCTTTAGGTTAAGTTAACCAGTTGTGATGAGAAGAAAATATCTCCTGAGTCTAAAAAAGGGACAGACCAGCTTTCAGCTGTGATTCCAGCAGGTAAGCCTTGTGCTCAAAATCGCCCATCACAGTCAAGCATGTCTGCCAGTTTGCACAGAACCCTGTACTGGGTCCCTAAAACAGACAAGGGCAATTCTTCAGCATGAGCTTATGTGTTCTCTTTAACCCCGTGAGGTAAGAAAAGCCATCAATCGTTTTCATTCTAATGACAGAAAATGTGATTGGCAAGAAGCGTCAGATATGTGCCTGTGCTCCATCCAGCCAAGACATAAATGAAACGTGTCCCCGAGTCTCTGCTGACCGCTCTTCCTGCCATAAACACTGACTCAAATATTCCTCTGAAAACAGGTCAGTCTCCAAGACTTATGTGCAAATAAAAGTCCATAATTTACTGTAATGGAAAAGACATTGATTGGAGCTGGAGAGCTGGCCAGATGAGGAGCATCGGTGAGACCCCGGGCAGTCGTGGCCTCGGCTCACACCCTCTAGACGAGGGCTTGGGCTGGGCCTGCGGCTGCCACAGCCCCAACCTGACTGAGCAGCCTCTTCGGCACCTGCGGCTTTACTGGGTGCACCCTGCTGCCACGTTCACGAGTGCCAGACTCCCGCAAGCTCCGCCTACTGCTGGCGAGGACTTGGGAAGTGGGCAGCGTGTCATTAGCACAGTCCCTGCGAGTTAAAGACAGTAAGAGGCCGTGCCAGCCATGAGGTCAAGGGGACACGCACTCACTGCACAAGCCGGTGACGGGGCAAAGGCGCCTGGCGTAGGCTGTCGGTGAGAAGACAACAGAGGCCAGCTGGCCATGGGTTCTTCCACCTCACCTCCATCTCAGTCCCGAGGGGCCTGTGAGACAGTCGCACACCCCTGGGCTCCTGACACAGGCCCTGGACCCCAGCCTCAGGGGTCAGACAAGGAAATCTGCATTTTGACCGACTCCCCTGGTGACCCTTATGCTCACCAAAGCTTAGGAGTCCCAGCTGTGTAAGTCCTGTTGTAAAACTATTTTCAAGTTAATCTCAATACAATTGTCAGAAAACTGGGGTATTTTATTCTAATAGAAATACGTTGTATACATCAGGATTGATTAAGTTTCTTGAGGGACTTTACAAGTACAAAGAAACTCAAATTCTCACACTGGCTTTTAAGAAATAATGATTTTAAAAACATTTGTAGAACTTTCTCAACTTATTAAATCATGTTAATAATTTAACAGTGCCTCGTTTTTCTTTCACACACTGTGACTCCATTTCCTTACCAAGAAACAAACAAGCCATCGGGAGGCACAGCTATGACAGCATCTGTGTTGCTAAGCTGCGGACACTACAGGTCAATGACAATTTCCTGTCCCAATGACCCCCAATCTCCTTGTGCCTTAAGCAAACCTTTCACTCAGGGAAGTCAAGGCTGACACCGTCAGAAGTGGCTGAAATGCACCAAAGCCCAAACAAAACATACCTAAAAACCTTATATTTTAATTTGAAAATGAAGAGATATAAAAGAATATTTCTAAGGTTTCTCTACTTCTGCTATGCACTGTTGATACAAGATAAACAACTTAACCTTTCTGAGGTTCTTCAGTTGTAGTGATATCATTAAAAAGCCCCTTTACTCACTTAAGATGAATGAAATTAAATGAAAAAAACATGAAAGTAACTCAAAGTGATGCTATTACTAAATGAACACGTCCCTTTTATTGGAAGAATAGTTCTGCAGGTGAGCTGGACCCCAGGGTCCGTTTACACCGGGGCTGGCTGACTGGCGCGAAGGCACTGAAATGGGATCACCTTTTTGTACACATGCCTCACTGAAAAGCTCAAGGTTCAGAAATCTCAACACAAGACCCTTCGGTACCACCTCGCGCGTCACAGCGCGAACTGATTGCAGATGAGTGCGTATTCAAGCTCTGGACACCCCACCCTCACCCACCAAAACTTCCTTCCTTCAACTTCTTGTCCACCCCCTCAAAAAGCCACAAAACAAAACAGAATAAAACACTCTTCCTTCCAAAGTTCTGCCCTAAAATGGGGCCATAGCCTCCAGGACAGCTAGCGTCATGTGTGAAGCTTAGTCCCCAAGGAACAGAGTGACACGCTTCATCCTTTGTCCCATAGCACAGCCGGATTCACTCAGACTCAACAGACGGGAAATTCAACACGGTCATGGGCTAAGCCAGTTTACCATGAAGATTAAATGCTCTACTTACTACACATTCAAATAAAATACGTGTGTTAAAGAGTCTAGCCTTCGAGTTACATAAAGACTCGAGTAAGAGAAATTCAATTATTTCAACATAAAGTTTTAAAAACCAACTTCTACAATATTTGATATCTTATAATGTGTTAAGTTTGCTTCAAATCTATGTTTTCACTATCTGAAGCACAGGAAAGTCATTTGGAGAAAAGAAATTCCATGTCTCTGGTTTTCAAAAAATGTCTAGAATTTAAAATTTACCCTCAGATCAAGACATATTCTTAATACATATAAAGATAAACAACTATGAAATGGGCATAATTTTTCTTTTTGTGAATGAGACCATCTAGAATTTACTTTCTAATATGAAACAAGCTGGATATAAGTAGTCCTTAAAGCACCATCTTACAGTCCTTTTATCAGGTGCCACTTCCCACATTCTTACGTTCAGTCTAGAAGTCTGTGTAACACGTACCCTGTGATCATCCGCGTTGTCATTGAAGATATAAGGGACCAAAGATGCCTCAGAAACCTGGCATTAAAAGCTAAACTGTAAAGAAGCCTAAAAGGAACAGGGAAAATAAGAGTAAGTAAACGCTCGTTCAGTGGATTTCTTCAACAAAAGCTATAAACTGAGCATAATGGACAATTTGGAAAATATCTACATTAACACCACAAAGAGCATGCTCTCTACGATAGCAAATGCTGTACTGAGAATAAAATATTTTAACAGACTAAATTTTGTAAGAAGTGCATTAATTTAAATTCCCACAGTGGAAGAGAAATAAAGAGATTTTAGATAAATAAGTTACTTTTCAATAATAATAATAATATAAAAATCTCAAATTTGATCATTTTCCTGGATTCAATCCAAAATCTCAGATCCGTTCTTTAGGATTAGCATTTTCTGAGCATACAAGACAGATATGGAGTCTTGCTTTAAAAAAAGAAATCAATCTCATTTTCGTGTGGTGTAGTTTGAAATGTCCAAATAGCATTACAAGCACAATCATAAAAAATGAAAACATGAAAGTATGTGAAATTTACCTAGAATCAAGAAATCTTAGACTAGAAAGAACCTATTAGATCATTTAGCCCAACCACTCTTCAAACGCCATGGAGGCCAAAAGCCATCTGTTTTCATCAGCAAACAAAGGGGTTGGACTACATCAATTCTAAGGTCTCTCCCAGATCAAATACATGATGATTCTACATAAAGTGTGTTACATTTGTCACAAGTACACATTGTGACAACATGGTAACAACACTACACTAATTCATAGGAAACCCAACTGGGTGAAGCTCAAAATTAGGGTGAGAAATTAAAAAAAAAATTTACTGAAATAATGAAAAATGGTAACAACACAGGAGACGAAGGAAATAAACCACATTATCAAATATGCGGAGTCTCTGGCTCAATGGCCACATTTCCACCCAAACATCACTGTTGAAAACAAGCTGTATCAGAAAGGCGTACACAGACCCTGTCTCTCACATATTTAATTTAAACACTTACCGTAAACCAAGTATATAAATGAAGTGTTAAGATTTTGATTTTTCTGCCTTTATGAAGTATTATATGCTCTGAAGGCTACCCAAACCACCACACAAACAAAAAGAATAAGAAAAAAGTTATGAAAAACATGAACTTTCAACATCCAAGAATTCTAGAAGGTAATATTTGCTTGCCTTATTTCTCCTGGGTCAAGAAATTGAGTCCTTTTTAAAAAATGTATTATCTAGTATAATTTTATTGTTATCAAGATTGCTTAAAATGTGTTAAATATAAATACTAAAATTTAGCATCTCAAAAATCTGAAAATTACCCATTTTCAATGGATGTGTTTCTTTTTTTTTCTTAACAACAACACAACAATAGGGCAAAAGAAAATCAGCAACATTTCATCCCATCTTCCCCAAAATAATCAGAATTAATAACTTGGTATAAATCATACAGATACTCTGTGTTCATATGTAAACAAAACCAGATTCTCCCAATATATTCACTTATAACACATTTTCTCACAAAAAATTACAATTAACACCTTAATAAATTAACATCTTTCCACATATATCTGAGACACCATTTAATGGCTACACATTTCCAAAGTTATGTATCAAGTTAACTTTGAAACAATTATTTCCTAAATTAACCACTCAATAATAAAACAAATTATTAAACATTTTTGTAAGTTACTGAAGGTTATTTAGTTTGGGGCTTTACTGCTAAACGGCAAAGAAGTGACATACTCTTGACACATGCTGGGATGGATTAAAAATTACCCATTAAGCTTTATTTAGCTGCGACAACCCTATGAGTTAATTAGTAAAGGGCAACATTTTTGACCCAGGTCATAAATTCAGGCCAGTTGTCTATAGGAACTATTCCAGTTATTAAAGAGAACACAATGGGCGACACCAGCTCCCACACAGGCAGTAGAGGGCACGACAGCAAGCCGTTCTCAGATACTTCCTCTGTATGTAAAGCTGTCATAGGTAAAAGACATACGACAAGCCAGCCACCCTAAGACCCTCCCTCCCACTCTTGGAGCACACCAGTGCCAACGTGACACTTTGTGTTTTCTGCTGGAAGTGTCACTTTACTGGCAAAAGGGATATTAAAACGCAGTATTAAAACACATTTCACCTCTGAGACAATGCAAGGTTAAAAGCAAATTCTAAATTTCCTTCATGAGAATAAAAACTTTAAGATGTATTTCAGTTGGAGGCAACTTGCCAAAAATTTTCTTCACTGACAAAAGAGGACCTAAGACTAGAAGATAAGCTCTGGACCTACAGCTGTGTGACTTTAACATCTCCGTGCTAAAACCAGTTTTAGTGCTAAAAACAGCCAGTTTAAACAGACAGTTCCCTCTACCTGACAACTGACTTCCTTCAATTTTAAGATGAACAGACTCGATGTCCCCTCATACTCAGTTTAAATTAAACAAGGGGAGCTGCACTCAGCATCTTGGACACATCTCTGATGTCCCCTCCCTTATTATTTCTTAGCATTATTCTTAGAAGAAAACAAAAAGTTTTAAATAGCCTCCATGTGTGCTTTTCCCAAGTTTACTTGTATTTCCTATGGCTCAATTATCATTCACAGATGTTTAGAAAATTCTTAGAAGTTTCAAAACTCACTACAATTATACATTGCTAAATATGACTAAAGCTAGTTAGTCTGCTTTATGATTTTCATGTGTCTGCCAATAACTACTGCCAATTAGTTTATCATCTATATGATCTCAAAATAGATTTAATAATAAAATTATGTGTTGAAATGTTAAAAAGCTCATGAATTTTATTTGACCTAATATTATAGAATGCAAATTTTAACATGAATCAATAGCTGATTAAATCTATTGATTATACTGAAACTATCATTGATAATATAAGCAAACATGAAATCATAGGCAAAAAAACAAATGTTTCTCACTGTAGGCACATCCTCAATATTTTTTCTAAAGTAATCTAAAAATTTGTTTTTTATACAAAACCATGAAGTTAGTAATAATTCTAGACTATATAAAGAAAACCCCGTATTTTCATCCATGGAAGCCATCTGCATAATCATTCTAACGCACATTATTAAAGACAGAGGCTAAGAATCAAGAGCTGAGGAGCAGCCATTATCACATTACTTCCCAGTGCTGAGAGAACAGATGGCGCAATAGCCATGCATCCCCAGGGCACACAACTGTCTAAATCACAATGATTAATTACACACACAATTAAGTGGGCTCATTCTATTAGCTTTGGGTAGAAAAATCAAGTATGTGTTGTAATAAAACTGATTTGTGATGCCCTAAGATTTTATGTATTTACAAGAAAGCTATATGCAAATTATAATATCAACCTTTCTGATCTCTAAAACACTACCTTTAAAATTCTGTTTCAAAGTTTTTAGATATTAATAGAACAAAAGAGCCAAGCCCCAAAGAATATGCCCATCTACCCACCCCCTTAGCATCAGCACTCTAACAGGGAGTGCCTACCATAAAAGGAAGTTTCACCGGAGTTGGAACAGGAGAAATCTCAGGGTAGAAACTCAGGAAGGCTTGTGAAAGGTGGTAACTTCAGATCAGCCACGAGAGACAAGAGGCTGGAGGGTGCGTTCTGGAGACCCGTGTAGGCAAGAGCAGAGAGGCACGCGACACCAGGGAGATAGAAAAACCGCACGACGGGATCAAGAAAAAGGCAAGTCATGTAGCACGGCGGAGGCAGAAAGTGCTCAGGCTGGACGGAAGGCCCAAGCGGTGGCCCAACGCTCGTGAGGACAGTCCTCCATGAGGCCATGAGCTGAGGAGTGTGGGCTTTTTCCCCGAAAGCAAAGGGGACCCATTGGTAGGTGCTTAGTGGAGCAAGAGGATGAAATAATCAGGGCTGTGTCTTGACAACTCAGTCGGGCGAAACTACATGAGACGAGCTGCAGGCACGCATGGAGGTGACCAGTGCGTGCGGGGCTGACCGGGAAGGCGCGGTCTCAGCCCCCACCCCCGGCCGGCGCTGTCCAACAGACTTTGTCGGGACGGAAAGATCTCAGCCCCTGGCCACACATGACTACTGAGGCTGGGAAACTGGCCACTGTGACCGAGGAATTGGGCTTGTAAGCTAATTTTCATGAATTTAATGTGAAGCAGCCACGTTTAGCTAGTGGCTGCCCTACAGGACAACCCCAGGCGACCCCCAGGCTCGGGGAACGACGCTGAGCTCAGAGGTGGACACGTAAGGGTCTGGGCACAGCCCTGGGAGCCACTGAGCAAGAGTCCGGAGCTCCGAAAGGTCTGGAGCCTCCTGTATGGAAGAAACCACCCAGAGAATCAACTGAGTAGGACAGGACTAAGAAACTGAACCGAAAAAGGAGGCTAAGAAGTTTGGAGAACACTGAAACAGACAAAAAAGACCCGTGGATGAAACTGAGGGAAGAAGCTGAAAAGTAAAGGAAGCCGCGTGGGATGGGGTCTGTGGGGGAAACACGTGAAAGGGGCTCAGGGGAAGGGAGGAGGAGGAAGGGCGGCGCCCCGCACAGGTCTGCGCACCGCCGACTCTGGGCTGAGTGCGGGGCCGCAGGTGGCCTGTGGGGTGTCACTTGTTTAAGTGGAAAAGGGAGATACAGAACAAGGGGAACAGTAACCTACTTCGTGTGTCAGAGTTGGAAAAAGTAAGACTGTCCACTGGTTGTTATTCACACTGTTCTGCGTCTTCCTTTTTTCACGTAAATCGTATCTTGGAAACTGTCCACATCAATGTAAAAAGGGCCTCCGGATTTCTTTATACAGCCTGACAGTCCATTAAAATTGCAAATCCCAACTTGGAAAGTAAGAGGGAGGACTTGAGAGTGAGTTATCAGCCCAGGAATTTACTAATCGTGTTTTAAATACCTTTTAAAAGAAAGTTGGAAGCAGTTAAAAACTACAACAGTTAAAGTAAGCCAGTTTGCTCCTTCATGAGCTGTGAAGACCTTCTAAACACTTACAGGCTAATAGATCTGAACCATAAAGGACACCCCCGAGTAGTTTCTTAGAGGAAATAGGTGCTATACTCATAAAGCGAGACTGCACATAAAACTCCTTCAGCCATGAAACAGCGCTGAGCAGCTTGCTTGGGGAGCCCAGGACACTGAGCATCTACGCAGAGCAATCAGCGCCCGAAGACTGGACTTTGTGCCACAATCAAAGCAAGCGCGGGCCTCATATCCTGCCCTCATGCCACCCGCCCCAGGCTAATCACCTCAGGGGCACTACTTCCTCCCCTGTAATAAACACCTGTCAGCGAAGATAGCGCCTAATTAGCTGGCTGCATTCGTGTTTACAAGGCACTTTCGCTGAGATGTGTTCCCACATACAGTTCATTTCAAAGAACCTTTCCTAACCCAAAGGAACAGCGCTTTTTATGTTATGGGCTAGCGTTTTGGAAAAACCGGCACGGATCCTTTGGAGTGACAGAAATCACCCGGTGTTACATGGGACCCACTAGTCGACAGAGCCTCTCAGCAGGTGGCCGGTGACACTGGTCCCTCAGTTCCTGGTAGAGACTACACAGAGTTTTGCACTGAACTCTATTAAGTACTTTTCTATTAAATTACCAAAAACCACTAAAGTATCACTCAAAAGAGAGGGAAATAAATAGTGCAAGATTACCGTCACAATTATCTAAGCATAAATTAGCCACATTTTAACTTGTATGTTGCTTTGTCCCTCTCAAAAGTTTACATCAAAGTTTTAAAAAACAAAAATTTCAGAGTGCCAGAGTAAACTGTCAAGGCAATCTGCTAAAAAGAGCATTATGAAAGAGCCTAAAAAGATGTGTCATATTTTAGTTGTTTCTGTAATTGCCAGCACGAGTCCGACTTTTAAAACGGGCGGATAAGACCAAATTCCTCTTTCATTCCTAAAATCCTATAGGAAAATGAGCTCCTCTGCTAACATATTACAGGCCCCTGAGAGCTGGTTTGGAAGAAAAAAGCGAACTTCCATTTCCATGAAACACTTGGACAGCGAACTGTTCTGTGTCGCACGCAGACAGACGGACGCCGCGGACTTGCCTGACTCTGGGCACCACCGCCCGCTGCTGGGCCATCAGCGTGTGGCAGACGGAGGCCATGAGCGTGAAGGCCTCCTCACTCGCCGAGTCCCTCCAGACCAGGTTTAACAGCGTGTTGGTCTGCTGCTTCGTATCCAGCTTTTTCAGACACTCCTCTGTTATGTAGGGTGCTGACAATCTACCGTCCTCCTAAAACACACCAGGCAAATTGGTCGGAGTTAACGACATTTTGGGACGGCTCACCTCTAACTACAAACATACAGAAAATCTTACTGTTCTTCAAGTGAAAATACAAGATGGGCATTATCCCCAAATGACCCACAGTACATATCGCTCTCTGTACCAATGCATCCCCTAAATACCGGCAAACGCTCCAGAGATCGTCACTCTCTCTCTGAGGCGCCAATTTTGTCCAGCAGAATGACAAGGAATGGTGGTGGCTACTCAGCTTTGCTACTCAGATGTGAGACAGTATTTACATTTTAAGAAAGTTTTATTTCACATCTTTCAGATTGCATTGTACAAAGCATACATGGTGAAAATACATCTTCATTGATAGAACTTCCATTTTAAATTGAGATATCAGTTTAAGCAAAATAGAATAGTAAAAACCTTATTTAAAAGCAATCAAACGAAATATATAAATCTATTATTTGCTGTCTTAATTCCTCCACATCTGATTCACGGAGTAAAATCTGAGTTAATGCTCTACACAGTTTACCTGTCTGGGGTATTAACCAAAGATGCATACATCGTCCATATATGTACACATATGGACAGGGACAATCTGAACATATATGTACTGGGCATCGCTGCCTGCACTGTTCGGAAACTTGGGTGGGTAGAACTTTTGTAATTCATAATAAAACACTGTTTTAGAGATAAAGTGACACCCTCTACGTGCCACATTGACGCACCCATAACAGACGTCAGAACAAGAGCACTACATTAGCACCACTCTTTCTGTAGTGTGCGCTTTTAAACTTTAAATGCAATTTATTTTGAAATAAGGCGGAGTACAGACTCCCACAGATGTCAACAATAAACAGCTCAAGCTGCACATCTGAACGCTGGAAGCGGAGCACAGGCCGGCCTGAGGGCCTGTCCCTGCTCCATGACCTCACTGCCTGCCTTTCGTGTCCGCAGAGCACAGGCTTTGAGGTTGCCTCCAGCACACACAGCCCATAGCCTCTTCTTCACACAGATACAAGTGACATTGTGTACAAATAAAATGTTAATTTCTATCTCCTAAAGACGAAAGTTTGCTCTACATTCCATCTAGAGGATCCACCTCTTTTTCTCACTTACAATAAAATTCACTTTTTGGTGCACAGTTCTGAGCTCTGACAGATGCAACAAAATTCTAGTACCCACCCCAAAATTCAGTTTTACCCTGTAATTAACTCTCCCCTCCTCCTAGAAGCCCTGGCAATGCTGATCTGGCTTCCTTTCCTGATGGTTATGCCTTTTCCATACATGCTACGAAACTGTTTGAATCAAGAAGGCACAGCACAACACACCCCTTCCCTTCCCCGAACACCCGACCACCTCCCAACTGTATTCTTCCTGACGTGAAATTTCCTAACAGCAACAACAAATACTTAAAACCCATCAGAGCCATTCCTCAAGCCATTTCAATTGTGTAATTAAGAGAAAAAGAGGTCAGCAGCACCCTATCACTTAAGACACACGAATTGTGTGTGCGCGCATATAATGCACAGCTTTCTACCCCTTGAAAATGCTAGTAAAAAATGCTAGGTAAGGGGCTGGCCGAGTGGCGCGATGGTTAAGAGCTGGCTTGGGATGCCAGAGGGCCCCGGTTCGGATCCCACATATGAGGGCCAGGGACACTGCCCTCTACAGCTAAGATGAACAACAGCTCAACCTGGAGCTGGGCTACTGTGAATCACCTGCGACAGCGTAGGCTGCAGCCCCTGTGGCAGTGGGTTGCCATGGGCTACCGTGTGTAGCCAGCAGCCGCTGTGAGTGGCTATCCAGAAGCTGGCGAATCTGCCTCGCCCGTGAAGAGCGCAATGATGGTGCCAACTTGGGCCAGTGAAGCAACGTCCTCCACAACTAGACTGAAGAACAAAAGGACAGCAACTTGTCTGTTCCCCTTCCCCAATTCCCCAGCACTGTTCCCATCTCCCCAATTCCCCAATAAAAATCTTTAAAAAAAAAAAATGCTAGGTAAGAAATGAGAGAGGGGACTTAGAGAAATGTGACAATGCACTTAAAACAACTCATTTTAAAATAAATAAATCGTAATATTTATCATTATAAAATTGGCAAAAATTAACAAAAGACATTACTTGGTGTTCACAAGACAGGGTATGAAGGAACTTAAACCTTTTGTCTTTTTGGGGGCCGGGGGAAAGGCGGAAAGGGAGTGACTGCTAATAGATCTGGTTTCTTTCTGGAACGACAAGATGTTCTAGTCAGATAGTGGTGACGGGTGGACAGTTACGTTACAATACTGAAAAACATCACTGAATTGTATGTCACTGAAAAGGGTGAATTGTATGGAAAACTGTATCTCAATAAAGCTGTTATTAGAACATTCTTTTAAAAACAGAATAGCGCCTGGCACTCAGCTAGCACACTTCCCGAGAGCTAGGAACTCAACCTTTTCACCCAATCATTTCACTTCTAGGAAATACTTCGTAATACTTAAATAATATACAGTTTGACCCTATTTTGCATGAAAAAACAGAGAACTACGTATTTCCCTGGATACTTGTACAGACATACAGGAAAGGCACTAGGGTGCTTATCTCTGGGAAAAGAGGTGGTGGCAGTGGAGGGGCGGGCACGTTTTCCGTACAGTTTGAACACTTTACAAGAGTACTCTCATGGTTTCCTTGTAGCATTACATTAAAAGGGACAGGGAAATCTGATGAAGCCGTCCAGTGATCCCTCCCACTGACGCCCACGCCCACGGGAGCTTACTGTAGCGCTCATCTGCTTGTCTGCTTCTTCGCTCTCATCTTCGGAGTCACTGGATGAATCCTGACAGCTTGAATTGGCAGGTGAAGCCGGTAACTGAGAAAGAAAGGTCTGGAGCACTCTTAAATACACTAGCAGTCCTTCCTCAGAGAGGGTCCCTTTGTAAAACAACCAATTATAACATTTAATTAAAGCAATAAAAAAAGAAACTGGAAAACTCAGGTATAATTTTTCCTATATTCAGAGAGGCATTTCTGACCAGAACTTACTGAAATTCCAATAATTCATGAATACATGTATGCACTAAAATATATTAGAGGAAAATGTTATAACTCCAGAACAGGCACACTACAAGTTTAGGATAAATGGAGAAAACATCGCCATATGCACAGTTCTCCCATTCGATGCTAACACTCTTTTAATCGGTGTGGCCTCAGAACAAGTGTGTGTGTGGGAGGGATGTCTAACTCAGGTTTTTCCCTCTGCCCGGCAACTTCACCCAGGGACACCGTCCAGGACAGAGTCCTTCAGCAAACACGCCCCTCCAGGGAATTCCCACTGCAGAGGCCGAGATGACAGTAGGACACTGGCCACCTCATTACCTGGCTAATACAAGCTACGTGTGAGTTCAGGTGAAGCGTGTATTTCATACCCAGATAGTTTTCACCAACAGTCAGAACGAAGTAGAAGAGCCACGGCGCGCCTCCGCTGGCTTCTGCAGGCCTGCTGCTGTCCCCTGACAAGAGCGCGTGCAGGAAAGGCTCGTAGGGGAAGGCGGTCTGTGCGTCTGCCAACGCAGGAATGACCAAGTGGAAAACCTGCTCCGTGAAAGGTGCTGCCAAGAACTCCTCCGTGAAGGCGGTAAAAACCTGTTGCCTAAAAAAGAAAAATGGAAGCTTTTAGTAAAATCAAAACATGCTGTTCGTAAAATCATTGATTAAAATGAAGTTTCAAACTATCCTCCTAATTAATCAAAGTTAAGCATTCAGTATCAACCAGGCCACCCTGAAATGAACCTAACTTGGGTCTTCCCTACCAGAAAACACTGCTGTGTTTTTCTCTCCTTTGACAGCTGCTAGAAAGCAGGAAAATAACAGGTCTTCAAATTATACATTTATATCAGGGCACAGGACAGACAGGAAAGCACCCTTTCCTTACAATGCGTCACGTTAATAAAGTAAACTTGACTTTCGGGTCTGCAATTTAAGAGCATCCTGCGCCACAGCTACTGGTGGACACAGATCTCGTCAAACTACAAAATACAAAAAAATTACCCGTCTCACCTGGCTCCTTCTGGACAGGAGTTGTAGGTAAAGTGCAATGGTTTCAGAACATTCTCTAGCAAAATTTTTGCTATAGGAACTCGAGATAAGTCAGAATAGTCAATACTTGATGGAAGTTTGCTATTAATTAACAAATAGAGAGATCTATAATACCCTAAAAGAAAGGAAAAAACACATATTTAAAATTTGGTACCTTTTCTTATAATGAGGAAAAGAACTTGTCAGTTTTTAAATGCCTTTTATAACTCTCTATAGGTCCAAATTTAAGTTTATTCTTTTTCACCATTTTATTAAGGAAAACTTTAAACAAATACGTAAGCAGCCTGCAATGGTATATAAACTCCATGGACCCATTACCCAGCGTCAACAATTCTCACCACAGCCAATCATGTAAGTCTCCAGTCACTGGGAAGCAAATCATGTCAGTTTATCACCAAAGATCGGTAAGGGCTGTAGTTTTCTTAAAAATAACATCATCACAGCTAAATGAATAGTAATAATTCTTTAATATCACAAATATCTAGTCAGTGTTCAAGTCTCCAGCTGTCTCATTATAAATTTTATTTAACTAGTTTGCTTGAATCAGGGCCCAAGTAAGGCCCATATATCGTGGTTTTTAAAATTTATCTCTTAGGCACTGCCCAACTATTTAATTAGTTTTGTGGTTTTTTTAAAAAAACATCTTGCTGAATTCATGGACTTCAACATACTGACATACTTCAATTCACTGCCGCTGTTATCCTCCCTATAGTCGCTGCCCCATCTTTGGCCAGTGGAGTGGGCTTCTGGTGGGCTCCCGAGACCCAGGGGGCAGTGGGAGCGTCTCTGCTTTCTGATGGGACAAGATGTCCAGTATGACTCTCTCATCTCCTGACCAGGACCTGCAATCAGCCTTTTCTCCAGGGTCTCTTAAGTTCCTTTTAGAGGAAATTATGTCTGTGGATCACAAGATGGGCACCGAAAAATTTAACTGTTGTTCTAAAGGCAGCTTCTATGTAAGCAGAAGAACAACTTTTCTGACCTTTCTACGCCTTTGCTAGGAGTTCTAGGTGTGCAGTGAACAGAAACTCCAGACTCCCCAGCGAGCCACACCACAGCGTCTTTTACAAGTACTGGCCCCTTTTAAACAAGCAGCGGGGAGCGTCTCCAGGGCTGGTCTGTGAACGCCTCATGACTGCAGACATCTTGTGGGCACCACCACGTGCTTGGTTTATTTCTGAAAATGGTCCTATCCAGCCTGGCGCTGAGTCCTGACCACTGAGCAATGGCCACTCCGTACCCCATCGTTAGACCCACTTTGTTAACTACCCCAATTCTAACCTCATAGACTGATTACCGGGGAAGCTCAACAAGGGAGCTTGAAAGCTCTTTCACTACGGAATTGAAAACAAGATTTGGGAAAAAAAGACATCAAGAAAAAAATTTTAAAGTGTCACATCATCAACACCAGGGGAGTAAAAAAAACGTACACATTTTAAGAGATGTTACCTATGTAATACTTTTCAAAGTTGAAACTGAATTACGGTAGCAATGTGTAGCATGACGTTCGCTCAAAAGATGGCATTAATCAAATGAATGCTAGCGTCATTCATTGTATTACAATCTTAATATGGTTTTTTCCTTTCTTAAAATGTGTATACTTATGTTTGGACACCCTCTGTATATTAACAGCAATGTATGTGTACATTAAAAAGATTAAGGGCCGGCTGAGTGGCTCAGTTGGTT